ACTAAAACCACCTGAACAATAATCAAAATTCTCCAACCAATAACTGATCAAAAAAAAAAAATCTCCAACCAGTACATATAATTTAAAATATGGTACACCAACCCCTCAAAACTCAAACTATTCAAAATACAATACTGAAAGTCAATATTTACAAATATTTTACAACAGAAGTTTCCAAATGTACTCTCAAGATACCCAATATGCACTGAGCTCATGATATGGATACATATACTACTATTTAACTTTTCTGACACAACATACATACATCCCAAAAGAAATATGAACTAAATAAGTTGACAAAATAAATCATACAATGAAGGCAAAAGGGTGGCTCAACTCCGTAGATCAACAAGCTTCGACGCGGCTCAACTCCGCTACTACCTGATAAGGAAAGAGATGACAAAAAATATGAGCTTGTAATTCAGTGAGTAGATAGTTTATAACTAAGTATATACTTTTCTTCCATTTATGCATATTTTCTTAAAATTCTTATTCTTTTGAAACGTTGAGTAATTCTGAAATCTGATGATACTCTTAAAAACTTAAATATGATGAATCCGATGTTACTCTCAAAAACTTAAATATGATTGCGTCGTAAAATCCTTTGAAATATTTTGTTGTTTAATACTATAAACAAAAAGTTCTATACTGAAAACTGAATGATCTGAATTCTATAATTGGAAATCAAATATGCTATAGAAATACTGAAATATCACACCAAAAAGCTATACTGAATAACCTTCCTCATGTATCTATTAGTACCGATATACATGGCAAAGCTATTCAATTCTGTAGGTTATACGCGCACAGAGCTATACTCTGGTCATACACTATGGAAACACATTCAAAATAGTGCAGAGCAGGTAAAATAACCATATCAAGTCATACACCGTGGAAACACATTCACAGCAGTGCAGATCAGGGTAAAATCACCTGGTACTTTCTGGTGGTTTTTAAAATGACTTTAGATATACTGAAACATATAATATAAATATAACATGCTAGAGAAATGCTTAAATGAACTGAATTTAACTTTAAAAGAATTGACTATAAAATCCATTTGATTCTGAAAATCATGCTGTCAAATCAAGTATATGGAACAAATAACTTTCGGATATGATATAAACTTAATGAATATATATATTTTTCTGAAAAATAAGTTTTTCCACTCACATAAAACAAGCTACAGACTATGACGTTC